AAGGGGAAGTTACAAATGGGGATGTCGAACCCTATAATGGAGGGTGAAGGTGGGTTAAGCCTGATCCCACATCCGCTTGGAAGGAGAACGAAGCATTTCCCTAAAAGGGATGTTGATACCTTCCTTTTCACTACGTGCTTTAAAGTCGTGAGGGCAGTAGATCCCATAAGCACTGTGCTGTTAAGCGTGCCCAGGCAAAAGCATTCCAGGGATGAGTGACCCCCTACAAAGTTTTCTCATCGGGAGCCCAAAGCGAACAATATTGCGATAGGTGCCAGAGGGGGTCATTATAAATGGTATCAGAGTTAGGTTGTGGGTCGATTTGTTCGACAGGGATGTCGATCCCTATAATGGAGGGTGATGGTGGGTTGCACCTGATCCCACATCGTCTTGGAAGGAGAACTAAGCATTCCTTATAAAGGGTGTGGATACCTTCCCTATCACAACACATTTTAAAGTCGTGAGGGCAGCAAATCCCATAAGAACTCTGCAGTTAAGCGTGCCCGGGTGAGATTGATTCACTGATGGTTGTCCCCCTGGGAAATTTTTGTTGGATTAGTGTCTAAGTCCATAACTATAATTCGTATGCACTTGACCCGATTTGGCATGGTCCATTTGGGTTGCATGGCATCAGAACAACTCGATAGACAAAATGAGAAAAAGGATACTAGTGATTTATATCAATATATTATAAGTTCTACTATATTAACATGAAATCGTATTATTTAATTAGTATTGATTTAGAATTAATTTAGTAATTAAAATGAATTATTAAATATGGACTCTTATATATATATATATATATATATATATATATATATATATATATATATATATATATATGGTGGGCCAAGTTCATTTAGGTTGGGCTAAGCTTGCATGGATAGTCCATGGAGTTTTTAACTCATGGATCCTACGGAAATGAAAGGTCATGGGTATTAGGGTTTACATGAATGTAACCCTAATCCTCCACACTATATAAAGAGGTATGTGGTTCATGAAATGGACTAGTAGGTGTACACAAGAGGGCAAATCGATGTGGTGCAAGTATCCATATTCTCAAGTTATACCACAGGTTCTTGGTGTTTAGTGAACCATTTGAAGTGCAAAACTTAGGGCACTAAGCTCTTAAAGGTTCAAGACTCCAAGCTCCATCAAAATGTATGTCATTCAACTAGATTCCTGTATTGTATATACTTCTTATTATGCTAGTTAGGACGAAACCTTGGAATATTGAATATTTGCATGTATAATAGAGAAAACATAGATCCAAGGTTTATAGGGTTGCATGTACACCATAGGAATGTTAGAATGCTCAAAACCCTTCAGTGGTATCAGAGCCTAGGCTTGTTTTCAATTAAACTTGTTGATATAGGCTGAAAATCAAAGTTTATATGTTGTCTGGTCAGCTGAATCGATGAGTCCATTAAGGGACTCCACGAGTCCATGTGCAAATTCATCCAACTCGTCAAGTTGGGTCATGCACTCGACGATTTGGACCTCCTGATAGCATATCTTCGAGTTTTAAGGCTGGAATTGATCTACAATCATTACCTTAAACTATTTTGGAGTTATAAAACATGTTTTTGATGTGGTAATGATTATGGTAAACCAATTTCAAGGTTATTATCAAATTTTCTAGTTTATGTGTGTTTATGTAATTCTTGAAATTGTTGATATGCTTTTTCATACACTTATGAGTTGTGGTAGATCATAGGAATTATTTGCAAAGTGTTGTTAGTTAATTCTTGATCTAAATGTGTTTAATGGCGTCCATAATTTGTCCTTAAGTTATGGATTACCAAAACTCATTTCTTCTAAGGATCCATTAAAAAGCCATAGGTTAAATAATTGAAGAGCCTTTTCTCATAAATAGTTTTATGGACTCCATAACTTGTCCTCGTGTTATGGATATTCAAGAGTCTCTTCATTAAAAGTTTTAAAAACCTTAAATAAACTCATAAGTAATGAAAAACCAATTTTTTTGAATTGTTCAAAACTTGCCTTCAAGTTTTTGAATTTGTAAAGTTTCCCCTCATGAATACTTTAATTCCAAGTTAAACCCTTAGAGTTTTAAAAGTTAAAATTCAACCCTTATACTATTATAATATTAATAGTTAATAGTTTTATATATGTATAAGAACAAAGTTCGTCTTACCGTTAGTAGGCCTCATTGACGAAGTCGGTCTATAAGGGGGGTATAAGGTTATTGCCTATAAAATGGCAGTTTAATGGGTGTCCACTCTCACCCACTGCTTCTTTGACTGGTGAAGGTTCGTTAGCCGAACGAGTTTGACAGGACTCTAATTCTCCATTCATTATAAGTATAATGATAAATATAAAGTAATTAAACCTTTTATAAATTCTCAATCTTAGTTATTTTAGGAAAATGTGAATTTGGTGCTAACCCATGAAATTACACTTTGCACTTTGCTTAAGTCGTTAGTGGAGCGTGTGCGGTTAACCGGCACACTAACTTGGATTTAACAAGGTTGGAAAATGGTGGCTTAAGGTTTATTATAGAATCGGTGGAGCGCGTGTGCTTAACCTGCAATCGATTAGGTGATAAAAATTAAGATACCAAGTATATTTGTATGGTTATTCACGCATTGTTTGTGATCCTCGACATCCCAGTCACAAACTTGAGAGGGTACAATCGAGATTGAAACATGTCATTGGAAAGTTCAATGAATCTAAAAAGATCTAGGAGTTTCAAATGAAATTAAAACCTAATAAAATATTTCATTTTTCATGGTGGAACTTGGTGAATCCTCATTCGCCTACTTTCAAATATTTTATAGCTTGGATTACGACATCCCTCTTCCAAGTTATAAAATATTGTGTTGGGTCATAGCCTTAATATTTCATATTGATGTTCTATTAAGGACTTAAATCAACTAACTAGCCATGAGAGACTAATGAGATGTGTGTGGTATTTTGAGGAACTCACTAAATTTCGTGCTTGCCGTGTTATGTGTTTTAGGTACTTCACTAAATTTCGTGTTTGTCGTGTTATGTGTTTCAAGTACTTCTCAAGATCACAGGAAGACACTAACTTGATTGTACACACGAGACGGAGTTTTGTTTTGAGGATCCTGGATTTTGTTTAAACAATTTATGAATATGTGTTTTTGATAAATTGTCACTTGTATAGAATCCGTCTCGTTTTGAGGATCCTGGATTTTGTTTAAACAATTTATGAATATGTGTTTTTGATGTGTTTATGAGAATCCGTCTCGTTTTGGATTTTGTTAATTTATGAATATGTGTTTTTGATAAATTGTCACTTGGGGATTTGGATTTTGTTAATTTATGAATATGTGTTTTTGATAAATTGTCACTTGGGGATTTTTGAACTGTGTTTATCATAAATATGTGATTTTTAAAACGAAAATTTTATTTGAAAATTTACAATATTACATCTATCAAAAGAAGCCTCAAAGGCCTATCAAGAGAAATGGTATATAAATCTACTAAATGTTTCTTTCCACACCAATATGAGATAAAAGAAAATAGCCAACTTACTATTATACCATCATAATTTCCAACAGCCAAAAGGAGCACGCATTCATCAAATGTTTCATGTATCGTTACTAAAACGGGGCCAAGCTAACGATTTGAGTGTTGTTCTCTTGGAAGAGTTCCTAGTTCCAACGTAATCACATGTTTAAGACTACCGTTGGATCAAAAAATAGTCTTACGTAAAGGAAGAGTTCCTAGTACAACGAAAACACTTTCTATTGAAGAATCACATAGGAGTCAAAAAGTCATATTCTCAAAAACTATAATTCTAATTAGACAAAGAGATTAAAAATTATTACATACTTATATATTTTTCTAGTAAAGCAATCACGTTGTAAGAACTAGTATTTTGTGTATAAGGACATCCACAATGTAAGTTTAATATAAATTGAATAAGATTGTCATCATATAGAATGTTTAATATAAATTGAATAAGATTGTCATCATATAGAATATGTATTTATTAGAGGGCGGATAATGACATGAAAAGGAGTTAAATCAAAGAGTTTAATAAAGATTTAACCTCTTTTAACCAAATGAAAGCGTTGATGTCACTAAATTTGTTTTTATATCATTAATCGAAACATATGTACATAAAATTAGTTTTCAATTACATTCCAAGCCAAAACTCAATATAACTATATTTTTGTACTAGTTTTTTATTTGAATATTTTTTTAATTAAAAGACAAATTAAATTAACAATAATTTTTGATACTGTATTATCTAACGCATCGTATTTTTTTATTGACGTATATTTTCAAATCAATAAATCAACTGAAAGATTTAAAATTAAAAACTAATGAAAACAAAAATATATATTTATTGCAAATCTATCACAATCAAATTTTAATTATTTTCATGTAAAAGTGTTCTCGCTACATTAAATTATTTCAAAATATGTGATGTATTTAAGTATGACATAGTGATAGTTCCTTCAAGCTTAATATTGAAGTTCATTGATAGATCATGTATAGACATGAATGATCAATATCATATAACTAATTATTAGTTGCATTTCATTTGTCCATTCGTCCTCAACAAGTATTGTCTCTTCTAATTATAAATGTTTAATTCTTAATTCTTAACTAATCATTGTTCTTAATGATAGTGATGGCAATCCAATAAATTTTATGAAATTTAATGGATTACATATATCAAAGAGTAAATTATATAAAAAAAAAAATTAAATGATCCGTTAATTTTGTAGAACTCAATGTAAATAACTTATGAAATTTGAAATATGTATGCATATTATTAAAATATTGGTAAAAATACAGTTCATCAAGCGCATCTAGTGTAGTGGTATCATAGTACCCTCCCACGGTACTGACCGGGGTTCGATTCCCCGGATGCGCAATTAATTTTTGTTTTTATCTTTGTACTTGGTTATAAGACAAGAATAAATACCTCTCTGTAGTCTCTACTCTCTGCTCTTTTGTTTGAAATACGTTTTTTGAGATCTTAATACTGCGTGCCAATGAAATGGAGGAATTTAACCTCTCAAAATTCAATCTTATTGGCACTTTTACACCCACTACGTTATCAATCCACTCCGTCGCCATCTTCTTATGCACCCATTTTCAAGTTCTTGATCGGCTTAAATCTTCTGAAACTAGGCCAACAAGTTCACTCCCATCTGATTATCCGCGGACTTAATCCCAACTCATTCCTCGGCGCAAAGATGGTTGCAATGTACGCTAGCTCAGGTGACATCGACTCCGCCATTGTTTTATTTGATTCCATTCGGCAAAACGCGTCGATCCTTTTGTATAATTCGATTATTAGAGCGTGCTCGCTTTACGGTCTTTCGGAGAAAAGTGTTGGTATTTACTTGGAGATGAATTCGGCTGGGGTTCCTGGTGATTACTTCACATTTCCCTTTGTGTTAAAAAGTTGTGCGAGTTTATGCAATCTTGGGTTTGGTAAATCTGTTCATGGGAAATGTTTAACAAGTGGGTTGGAGTTTGATTTTTATGTGGCAACGTCTTTAATCGATTTCTATGTGAAATGCAGTGAACTCCGTGATGCTCATAAACTATTCGATCAAATGCCTGTAAGAGATGTAGCCTCCTGGAACGCATTGATTTCCGGGCACATGAAAACCGGTATGGTTCATCTTGCTGAAGATTTGTTTTCAAAAATGCCGAATAACAACAAAAACATCGTATCATGGACAACAATGATCTCTGGGTACACACAAAACTCCTTACCAAATCAAGCCCTCCAACTGTTCGACGAAATGACAACCGATCTCTCAAACATAAAACCAAACTGGGTAACAATAATGAGCATTCTTCCCGCTTGTTCCCAATCATCATCACTAGACCAAGGCAAAAAGATTCACAATTATGCCACCAGCATCGGTCTCGACTCAAACCCATCCATCCAAACAGCACTAGCCGCTATGTACGCCAAATGCGGGTCCCTTTTAGACGCCCAAATTTGCTTCCAAAAAATCCCCCAAAATCGAAAAAACCTAGTGTCATGGAACACAATGATTAGTGCATACGCGACTCACGGATACGGGATCGAATCCGTGTCCACATTCAATGACATGGTTCGAGCCGGTGTCCAACCGGATGCAATCACATTCACCGGGTTACTATCTGCGTGTAGCCATTCGGGTTTAGTTGATATCGGGTTAAACTATTTCAACTCCATGAAAATTGCATACAACATTGAGCCAAGGCACGAGCATTACGCGTGTATTGTGGATCTTTTGGGGCGAGCCGGGCGATTAAAAGAGGCATATGAACTCACTTTAAAAATGCCGATGACACCGGGAGCAAGTATATGGGGTGCGTTGTTGTCGGGGAGTAAAAATTATAGAAATCTTGAGATTGCGGAGATATCGGCGAAACGTTTGTTTGTTTTGGAGCCCGAAAATAGTGGGAATTATGTGATTCTTTCGAATATGTATGCGGAAGCTGGGATGTGGGTAGAAGTGAATAATTTAAGAGACTTGGTTAAGGCTCGAGGCGTAGAGAAAAATCCGGGTTGTAGTTGGTAGGGTGAGTAGGAAAACCGAAACCAAACCAAAAACCGTGAGACTGAACTTTTTTAAGAAACCGACGGTTGGAAATTTTATGTTATGGTTGGTTGGTTTTTTGTGTTAATAGAAAAATTACAATTTTGTTTTATAACATATATAAATTCCTTGGGTGATCAATTATTGTAGGTTTTTTTTTTTTTTTATTGTATTTTGGTTAGTTGTGATGTTTATACAAGACAAAAATGCAAAATTGGTGTATTTACTATTTGGTTTGCAAAATTTTGTGATGGGAAACAAAAAGTTAACTTGAATGGAGGATTTAAAATCAGAAATTTATGGTGGATTTAGTCCGAGAAATTTGAAAGGATTGTAATGTCTTTTTAATTTCTTTTTTTACATTAGAACTCCTACCTCATAGATAGACTCCACAAAACAAAGCAACAAGAAACAAATCGTTTTCATTTTCCTCCTACTTGTGTGAGCTTAGGTGTTCAAGTAGTTCCCATCGCCATTTGGTTGCCTATCCTTGAGGTTATGTCACGTCTAGGAATTAATAGAGCAAAACCTCCACCCGTGGTTAAGATTCTAAGGTGACATAAAGACCTACATGTTGTCAGATTTCATTTGGCATGATGTTAGGGCTTGATTGACCATGTTGTGGTATTCCAAATGGTGCACAAACCCTATATGTGTGTTTTTTTAGGGTTTTTCTGAGTTCATAAGAATTGAAGGAATGTTTCTATATTTTATGAAATTCCACAAAGATGCATTTTTCGCACTTTCATTGATTAGCCTTCAACAGGTCCAAATATTTAGTTGGTATTTTTATTATTTTATGCAACCAAAAAACTGAAAATGATCCAATTAGCATAAGGCGTGTTCGGTATCAGCCCCGTCCGATACAGATCTGTCAGTAACATACAATGGGCCCTGCCCAACACATTCATCAGGCCCAGTCTGGCATCGGGCCCTGGTACACATACAATCACATACAATGCATGCAAGAGTCACACAGAAAGCTAGCATCCTATAACCATAAACTAATGACCGACATTGGTGTCTTCGACCAAAAAATAATGTAAGGAGACTCAACTCGATCGGTAAATGAATAGATCTCACACATTGGTTCTATAAGTTCCGATCTATTTCTTATATAGATTGTAAAAACATTCTAAAAATGTTTTTAAAAATTCTGAAAAATGTTATAAGAAAGTTCAAAAATATTGTAAAAAAAAGTTGTAAAGGTTGTGCACGAGTTATATGTAACGCCCGTAGATCCGGTCTAGTCAATTTAGAGGCAATAAGTGTCGAAAATGACTTTTCGGCAAAATATTATTTATAATAAATAGTCTTAACCAAGTTGTAGAGTATGTCTCAAGGTTTCCGTACATATAAAGAACGCCGAAATCTGAGTTATAACGAGGAATTGATGGCTCGTCGAAGTTTTACGGCAAAACCGACACGACACCGGGAAGCGTAAATAGTAAACTTACGATGGAGCGACTTTTAGCCTTAGCAATCTAAAAGAAAGTTGTAGTATATGTTAAACCGAGAACATACAAAAAAAAGAACGCCCAAATCTGACTTCGTATGAGGAAGTTATGATTTTTTTCTAAGATTCGGCTTAGCAGTGCACGGTCCGAAACTCGAATTTTAGTTCGAGCGGTTTTTGGCTTACGCGACCTAAATGAGATTTGAAGATCTCATTAATAGAAACTCAACGGTAAAAAGATAGACAAAAACGAAGTCCGTATGAAGGAGTTACGAATTCTTCGCGGTCATTTAACAGTCTAAACGCCTCCTACTGTTAAGTTTGAGATTGGTCAAGAATTAGCCGACGGAGTCTAAATGAAAGTTGTAGATCTTGATTTTACCTACGCGTTGAAAAAAACAATGTTGAAAACGGAGCTCATATATGAGAGTTATGATTTTTATAAGTTTGAAGGTTGATACGCGATAGGGGGTAACGTGGCACCCCCAGAATTGGACACTGGCACCACCAGAAGGCTGCCACATGCCCCAACTCGGCGAGTAGGTCCTCCTACTCGGTGAGTCCATCAGGAATTCAGCCTATAAATAGAGGTGTCGGGTTCCTCTATTTCCCACACCTTTCCCCACTTCTTTCTCTCTCTAAACTCTCTCTCTCTCTCTCTAGGCCACCCTCCCCCCCCCCCCCCCCCAAAGCCTAGGGTAACTCCCTAGCACAAGGCGGAAGCCTCGGAGCGCCCGAAGGCTACGAGAAAAGAGCCTTTCGGCTCAGGAACGTTGCTCCAGCAAAGCCTGGTTTTGTGAAAAAACCACTGTAAGTGAGCTACGCTTACGCTATTTTTAATATAGCTTCTAATTAAATATAGTAACATTATTAGGACCTTAAAATAATTATTTAGGCTATTATTATGAGTTATATTGAGTGTTATTTAATGCTTATATAATGATAATAATAATAGCTAGACTATTAATTAGTCGCGGTTAACGTCAGACTAAACCCTAGTCATATTGATACTAGGTTTTGTCGAGGAAATTTGTGTTAAGAGTAACGAAGTACTGTTCAAGCGTCGAGTCACCATCTTCTCAGGTGAGTACATAGTTACTTTCATCTTACACATAGATATAAAATATTTAATATAAATTACGTGTTATGTGTGCATAGTGTCTGAATACTTGCTGTCTATGCTGGGTGAGAGATTTTTATACATGTTTTAAACTGTATACGTATTTTTATATCTAAAAAATATGTTGGGTAAAACATGGGTAGATGAAGGACGATAGGTGAAAGCTGAAATAGAGGAATATTAGTAGTATGGACCTAGTGACCTATAGGTATACATTGGCAGCAGTGGACCTAGTACCTTATAGATGAGCACTGGCAGCTGCACCACAACCCGTAGATGATTTAGATCTACGGTAAACGTCCTAGCAGCTGCGCTCTAAGGACAGTATCGGCAGCTGCGGCTAATAGGGAGCCTTATGACCATGACAGTAGCGTTTAAAGGTCAATACCGGCAGAAGCGTCTCATAGAAAATTTCTCAATTCTGGCAGCTGCGCCTAAGTGACAATATTAGTAGTTGCGCTTGACCAATGTGTCATTGGCAACAATGGACTTCATGTTGTTTCCTTAGGATGATCCTTAGGAATGAATGAATCAGAAATAGTTGATTCTTAGGGTGGATCTTTAAGAATAAAGAAGATAATGGGGATGGGTAATTAGGTTGATTGTTTGATTGTTTAAACATAATAATTATATTATTATGGGTTGAAAACCCTATGTACTCACCAGGTTTCCCAACCTAACCCACTCAGTTTATTTATATCACAGGTGTTGATATGAAGTCACATTACACTGAGAGATTTAAAAGAGATGTAGATCACTAGTGTAAATGAATGTAAGTTCTATTTATGCTTATGTTTCTGTATTGACGATGACATTCCAAATGTTTTAAAAGTGAATAAAAATATATTTCTTTAGAAATGCTTTGATAATGCGATTATCATGTTTTTCTGGGAACAAATTCCGCAACATTTTTTTTTATTAAAAGAGATACTCTAATTTTTATAAAGCATAAACAAAATCGGTTTTTTATGGCCGTGGAAAATGGGGATGTCACATTATAAACTTTACATAAAAAATTGTAAATGAGTCTTAGAAAAAAGTTAATTTGTAAATAAAATAAAAAAACTGATTTATAAAAGACAAAATTTCACAATTGGTCTCCGTGGTTTACAAAATATCTCACTTTGAGGACATACTAACAAAAAGTCACGCCTGTCCTTATGGTTTCAGTTCATTGTGCGATTGATCTTTACCGTGTCATCTTTGTACTGTTAGTACAGGGGTATGTTTGTCTTTTCATCTCGTTGTGCATCAGACTATATAATGTACCCACCATCTTTGTATCCTTCTACTTCTCATTCCTTTCTTCTCTTCTTCCTTCCCTACTCAAGGTTTCTTCCAAAAAAAAAAAAAAAGACGATGGTGATATGCCACTGTGGAAGGCCGGTGGTTTTGGTGACATCGTGGATTGATTTGAACCCTGGCCGTTAATTCTGGTCATGCTCAAGGTTAAAAGGGACATGCAGTTTTTTTGGATCGTTCAACCCTCCCATGTGCCCTAGGTCAACTGTTGTGATTTTGGGGTTGTTGCGTGGAAGAAACAATCTCGAAGCAAGATTGATGATGGTGAAATGGTTACTTTGTCTGAGTTGGTTGTTTTTCTTGGTGTGTTACTTTTTCATGTAAAAAAGCAAGAAACTTCTGGGGGGAAGAATATGTGTTTTGGAATCTATGTTTTGGTCCCTTTTTTGTTATAGCTTTTGAAGGATTTTCCATGTGATTGTATGTAATGTTGGGACAAGAATATGTAATGGTTATTATATATAATGTAATTTTGATGTTTACTTTTAATGTGAACTGATATTAGCATGGAAGCAAATTGTCAGTTTGATTGCATGTAAGTGTAAACTTGATTGTTAATGTACAATAACATAACCAACAAACTAGTTACCAGAGTGGCATTACTAAAATTGAAAATGTACTAGTTCAAACATAGTAGACCAATATACAATTAACAATAATGCATGTAAGTGAAATATCATGTTTACAAACATACAATACCCAAAATACCTATCAAAAGTAATTGTGTCTACAAACATACCATAACCAAACATAGTAGACATGTTAAATACTTAGACATAATAGCAAAAGCATACTTAAAGCTACAAACCAAACTACACCAACTTTACATTTCTTATGTCCACTCCCTTTTCCAACTTCACTAGGACCTCCCTACCCCTTGCATATCCTAGCATTGTGACCTTTGTCATGGCATGTACTGCAAATGACCGTTAAGTATTTCCTACTTAAACTGGTACTTTGACTTGGCTCATCAATTGTCCTATTCCTTTTTTTTCCTTTGGCCTTCCAACCTATAAACAAATTTATGTGGATACATACCAATAAGTTTAGTATATATTTTCAAATTGAATTATGCAAAAGATGTATAGAAACAAACTTGTTTGT